TGTCAAGACTTTGATACAAATTTGAAATTGGTTAAGGTGTGGTTTTTGTGCTGTTTTGGGGGGTCTTTCATGGGGAGCGGTCACATTTCATATAGAGATATTATGCATAATTTGTATTTTTAGGAATACTCAATTAAGCAACTTCTCAGCCTTGTGAACTGTGCAGTCAGCTCCAAGAAAGCACGCCAACGATTGACAGGAGTTGTTGAAGAACTGGAGAGAACAAGGGCAAGGTGAAAGGTCAAAGGGCAGAATTGTGCAGTACAAGTCAAGTTTGAAATGTCTGACTTTTGGGTATAGAGGGGTCAAAGTGTGCTGGTAAATTTGGGGAAAGTGGTAATTCATCATGTGTGCAGCGGAAGGGGATTCAGGCATATTTTTCCACAGAAGTCTTTTTGTATGTCACTTTCCACTAAATCACGTGACTTATAGTGGGTATCAACCCCATAGCAACCAGTGTTTTTAGTGTTGTTAACAAAGAATACAGCAACGTTACGGGATGGCACCCACTACATCAATAGTCCGAGTACAGTGCTTACAGTCGGCTTTATTTCTGGAAAATGTTACTTGTAACACACTTTGCTTTGAGTGGACGCCGTGTTTGCTACTATACATGTAGGTCACGTGACGTAGCTGGCGCAATTGATGTATTGGATGTGTTTACATGGAGTACAGCTTGAATCCACATCTTAACAGTGTCGAGTTCCAACATTGGAGACTTTAACAGTAGACGTCACACAAAAAGGTTTTTGTATACACAGAACATACATGAAAAAAGGAGGAAGACAGTGAAAGGATGTTAAAGGATGCAGGCCAAAATGGCCGAAAAAAGAGAGGGAGCACTTTGACCCCTCCTGCCCCCACACACACACACATGAAAGCCATCCCAAATGTAGAAGCACAATTCAACCAGTATTATGCTTAGAAATGACATATATGGAAACCCTGGTATTGTTTGATGCAGATTCAGTCTTTGTACAAAACACAGATTTGACTGGATCACAGAAGTCATCTTCATGTACATTTATACTGACAAGTTCCCATAAACAGGTCTTGTACTGTAGATTTAAGTTACTAGCATGATGTGTACAGATATGGTATTGTGATCCCATGTGAACTTGTGAACTTCTGTTTTCATTGTAGCACTACTGACCAGTATCACTGTAGTCTAAAAATGGTACATATTTCTACTAGTCCTCTTGCAGTCCAAACATTTAATCACTTGTTTCCCTTTTGGGTAACAAGTTACGAGTCGGCCTTTTGTAATGTTTTATATGTTGTTTTAATAGTGCATAAACACAGCACTATGGAAGATAAGACTGTATCATGTTCATGATGTAATTTGTTTGGATATTTTCTGTGCCATAAGCTTTCCTTTATATGTAATTAAACATTTTTAGAGGATTTGAAAATCATATGCTCTCATATTAATTTGATTTGCTCACACAACTGTATTCATCTGTGTACTGATGTATGCCACGAGACATGATGGACATGTCTACTATGAGAGATACAATTTAGTTGTAAGTGGACATGCCTTTGCTATGAAATCAATCCTCCTGACCGTAGGATTCTGTTGCAATATGTTTGATACTGCGCAGTGGACACGTTCATCCAAAACAAAATGCTCGTGTTCTTAGGAATTCTACACATAACCTATCAAGAGAGTAGAATGCCTTGTGTGGGTTTAGCAACTTAGTAGTAGAAAGTGAAAATATATACTACATCTGTATATTTTATGGTTATTCAGAGTGTACAAACAGTTACACGGAAACTGAGCAAATATTTTAATCATTTTATTGGTCAAAATGGTATCCATACAAGGAGTAAAAAAATGTAAATTTATATAAATTATCTGAAATGTGAAGAACACAAATTCAGGTTGAATATCGAATTTCATTAATTCCAATTGTATACACAAGTATAAACATAAAATCATAATCAAATATGCTTTTAAAATATGTAGGCAGTTTGCAGCTGCTTGAAATAAAACCAAATGAAAACTTCTACACAATTGTATCGTTGATTACCCATTTCATGTATCATGCATACAAGATGACATTCCACCATTTAAAATGAAGAGGTGTTGTATTTTGGATTGTTAGTTTTCATCTTCATTAAAGGGTAACAGAAATACAAAACATTTGAGTTCACATGAAGTGTTTAAAAATAACAATAAATACATAACCTTTTCAAAAACATCATAAATTTAATGTTTCTTCCATTCATTGTAACCCCAAACTGAACAAAAAGATCCTATTTTTCCCCCGCCCACAAAAAATCCCCTATTCTCTCCTTTAAATGTTCAGAATAATGATTTGCATTAAAATACTCAATTGGTAAACAATCTCAAACAATGATTTACATTTTATCATATGAAATATGCCAAGGCGTTT